ATTAAATACATATCTTTAACAAAGCATACAAATTATTTATTACAGGAATCTCAATAAATACAAGAAGATTATTGTTTATAATACTATTATTATTGCTTTGTTGATTAAATTAACACAATTTTTTAGATATTTTTGAAAAAATTATTATCTTAATTAAAAGAAAACTATCTATTTTGAGATTTTAAAAATGATATTGAAAGATAGAGAATATAGTAAAAATAGAATGATCTAAATTTCTTATATGATTTCTATACTGAAACGAAACTAACATCTTGAAATTGGAGAACAGCTTGGCTACTCTAGATTTTGACATAACTTTATTTACAGTGTTTCGCAGCCACAAGTTAATTTAATTCATTCTGAACTGCCTTGAAAAGTAGGTCCGCGTCATTTGCCCGAGGCACATGTAAAGAAATATATTGCATAAATGCAATTATGTTTCTACATCCTTCACCGTTTATAAACTTTATAATTATGATGATTTTACATTTTCTTTCATAAGAATGTTTTATTAAATCAGTGAGTCGGAATGCGATTATTAGAAATTCATAATATTATTTTAATTAATTTTTAAAATAATAAATAAGCATAAAATTTTAAATAAACTTTTTCATAAACATAATAAACGATTATACATTTTTTTGTCGATTATCTTACGAAGTGATTGTTTTGTAAATATTGTTATTCCTGTTATTACTGGATTTCTTCTTAATGTATTCTTATGTATTCTAGATCTTTTCTTTGTATTCTTGGAATACAGCGATAGATAAGAAATGAATAAATGAAATCCAAATTGTATTATGGATAAAAGGAAATAGGCATGCTTGCTAAATTTAAAGTCATCCTTTAGTCTTACTACGTCACGATCGCTATATTTTATGTGCATCTCAAGTGAGCCAACAAGAAATTTAAATTTCAAAATTCTCTCACGATCCGATATCGTACTTCCAACCTTCGCATATAATGTCAAAGTTTCAACAGAACCCATTATTGTAATCTAAAGTGTAATATTAAATCCGAGAATTTTAATCTTCAGAAAACATTTATATCGGAAAAGATTAAAGAATCATAGTGGCAATTTTTTATTTTATCAATTGTGTATAAAAGTAGAAATGTACCTTCTTGACGATTGATAAATCTCATTACATATCATCGATAAAATGATATTAAATGATAATAAATGATTCACTGTTGTTGCGAAAAGATGACTTGATTGAAACAATTTTGTTTTATTAGGCAGAAATGCATAAAATGAAAATAGATAACATAAGTAGTAGAAATAGTGAAATAAAACAAAACAATCGAATTTAAAATAATCTTGCATGAATCATTTTCAAATTCAACAGTTAAGTAACAGTTATCGTAAACATTGATCAAACATTGCACATTGTAGAGATCTTGAATCTAATTGATGGAAAATTAAGTAGACAGATCGCAATGTAATGAATCCGATTGCTATCAATTGAAAGTCGTTCATGAAAGTAGAAGCATGAGGAAATATATTATATCGCTATGATGCTATTCAAAAACTGCGTACTCATCGGCACTCTCTATTGCCTAGTAGTTCATTGATTTACCAGTCATCGTTATCATGAGACTTATAACACAATATAAGTATTTTTGCATGATTTGTGCATGTCCACTATTTTTACGCTTGTATAATAACAAACGAACAATATTTCTCTAAATTTTAATTTGATAATAAATAAATTATTACTGTTATTTTAACATTTTGTGAATATTTTCCTATTTCTTCTAAGTTCTTTCATGAAACAATCTTTAACATATCTTTTTCATAATTTTTAAGAGAATGAGTCTTACTTTTTGCATTATTCTGTTTCTATAGTTCTCTAAAATCTTTGGAGTGGAATTTAATTTTAAAGAGTGACAATCGAAGTGTTGAAAGAAAAATGTCTCAATCATCAATTTTTAAGAGTAAGAGTTTACTCTTTAGAATTAGATTCTATTTCAAAGATTTTACTTTTTGCATCATTGTGCGTCATCTTGAACGTCACATTTCCATGTAAATTATAATATTATGTATATAATAATAACTATAGTAAAAACACAATAATAATGTACAACATATGTAACTATAGGTCTGTTATTTTTACCTGATATTTTTCTTGCACGATTCATCTTTTCTCATGTTGAAGAAAAAAAAAGAAGAAAAATGAACCGTAAACGTACAAAAAGTTTAGCTAAAAAAAACAAACCTTATAATAATACACAATATCCCGATAATGCTCGAGATCGGATTCGCAGACAGATGCCTCGTTGATTTCAGTTACATTGATGCTTCTTCTAACTGGAATTTCTCTGTTGTGAAAATAGTGTTTGTACAAATTGCAAAAAATTTAGCTAAATTTAGCAACGTATATTGCATACATTGTAATGTATAAGAATGGAACTGAGTCATCAAAATCATTATACAATGCGCCATTCTATACATTACACATGCATTGCACTTGTGTAAATAGAATTTCTACACGCGACTTTTAATTGTAAACAAAATATTCAAATAACTCACGCAGGATAATGTACGATTATGTAAGATTCGCTGATAAAGAAAACTTTATTACTTGTTTATGATTCTATAGCCACAACTCGATTCATGACTATCAAAACTTGATAAAAAACTTATCTTTATATTCAATAGATTGCCGAGGAATATGCTGAAAAATTAAAGTTGAAGTAAAAAAATTGTATTGTTTGTAATAGGCAAATTTTGTAATAATTTCAAAATGGCATTTGTAATCATTTAGATATTATATAAGAATATCTA